GAAATAAGTTAAAGATCATAAATACGAGTATCCAATAAGGAAATTGAAATCATTTTGTAGACTACTAGAATAAATATTGTTTGTGCCCCACTTGAAGCAATGTAAGTTTTCCGAAACATTTGATATTTTCTGATTTCGCAATGACATATACATGTATTTTAGTGCTCCAGCTTAGGGTTTAAATAAACTAAAGCTATAACCTTTCACATTCTAAAGTTAGGCAATATGATAACTATACTTAAAGACTTAAAGATGTTTTGTTTAACCTGCAGAATGTGTGTAAATTGATTCACAAAGATTTTGATTTAGAACAGTTTATTTGAAGATAAAGGAATTTTAATATGAAAGTATAAAAAGAGAGCTACCAACTGTATACATACAGCACAGCTGTGCTTGTTTGCCTGGCTCTATACTGGTGACTAAAGCTAATCTAGTCAGTTAAGCTACAGTCTCACTTACATCCCGGCAGAGCCCCGGTAGACGTCCGGGGTGATCCAGGAACGATCGGGGTACGACCGGGAACAACTGGGGTACATCCGTAACTCTGCCGGCAACGTCCTGGATGATCCGGGAACATCCGGCATTCGACCCCGGATGGAATAAAATATTTAATATCACCGGGGTGGTCCGGGATGATCCAGGAAGGTAAAGCTTTGCCGGCTTCATCCTTAGCTCTGCCAGGAACGACCGGGGGTATACCGGGAAAGCACCGTAGCTCTGCTGGCACAAACCAGGGATGATCTGGGGTATGATATAGCCGTTAGAGCTACGGTAGAGCCCCGGTATATGCCGGCAGAGTCCCGGTAACTACAGGCAGAGCCCCGGAGGATAAAGGTAGAGCTACGGTTGGTCCCGGTAGAGCCCCGGTTCATTTCAAAAGAATAACGACAATTTGCGATGATTGCACTTGTTTGTATTAAAAGCCTTCCCATTTCCCTTCTATCCAGTATGGCATAAGGGATTTTCAGAAAATCATCATGAATTACTTTTCTGGAACAATAGATATTAAATTAAATGCCTGGATCGTCCTGGACTCTGCCGGGGCTCTGCCTGGATCGACCAGGTCTCTGCCTGGGTCAACCGGGGCTCTTCCGGTGTCATCTGGGAACGACCGGGGAAGCACCGGCATGATCCGTAGCTTCACCTGGGCTCTGCCTGGATGATCCGGAGCGCATCCTGGGTGGTTAGTAGGGAACTACCGTAGAGCTGCCGGGGTAAGTGTGACCACAACAATAATTTCATCCCGGATCGTCCCGGATCATCCGGGTAACTTACCGGGATGGTCCTGGGCTCTGCCGGGAGTAAGTGAGACCGAGGCTTTAAGGGCTGATAAAACTGTATATTGTGCTATTAAAATTGAATGTATTGTTCAGTGCCATAAAACGCATTGCAAATCGAGACAAAACAATGTTTCTTAGTTGCTTCATATCCATGTAGACAATTTTGCAAACAATTGGCCATTTCAATAAAAATAAACACCAAAATATAGAAAAATTAGGTTTAAACAATAATGGTAACAGTAGGGACCGAACTACAGATCTCTCTTATATAAGGCAAACGCTTAACCGACTATGCTATCGCAGATATGACAGCGAATTATTTATTAAGCTAGTGTGACTTTTTCAAAACATTAGTTATATACTCTAAATTAATTCTCGTAACAACATGGACGAAACTGAAGTGTGATTGAATATCTAAATGAGTACTATAATGTATTCATAATTGACAGGTCAATAAAAAAAAAAAGTTCCAATAGGTCTATTTTTACAGAATTATTGTGGATACATGTTTACATTGTGTAGGGCTATCTAGAAGATACGTGTCACAATCTGATTAAAATCAGCTCCAAATAATGCTATACATTAGGATCTGACAACCACCAATAGGTTGACACCTACCTGTGATCTTTCAAACAACCAATCAGCAGCCAGCTTTCATAAATTTGAAAGCGATGCAGTTTCTAATTTTAACCGCTGAAAAACCAATACTGAGTAGGTAATTTTTAAGATTTCGAGAACAAACACGGCGTTGTCGATATTATAAGCCTGCAGGTTAACTGGCAAAACAATCTTGCCCATTAAAAATTGAGTCTATTATCTCCAGTTAATTTGTTGAAAATAGCTTCAAACATTTTTTCTAACAAATTTGCTTTACTTCCACATACAAAGATATTTTGATACCTGTCTAATGCCTATCTGTAAAGGATGGTTTGATTGCATGGTTAAAAAAAGCTTTCTCGGTTGAAGGTGGGAATCAGATCTACATGTAAGAAATAAGTAGATCTGAACTTTAGTCAGATTGAAACATGTTATATATGGACTTAAAATAGACCAGCTAATGGGCATTTAATAGACTGGCTTATAATGGAGTGGACTGTTTTCTTTTATCTCAGTCTTTTCATATACATGTATACAAATCTTGATACTAATTTGACAGAAGTCTGAGTGTGCCAGTCTTTAATTGGTAAAAACAACTTGTCTGAAATATTATATACACTATGTTGAAACTATATTGTTTCCTGTTAGAATAATGTATAAAGTTTTATAAACTTTTAAATCTGTATAAAATATAATTATTTAACATGTCTCTACTGTTTAAAGACCTTTTGTCACAAGTAGGAAGGAAATGTCTATGACAAAAGGTTGAACAAAACAAATATTGAAATAAATCTGTTCTCACATTATGTAGCTCAGTGTGTCAGTAGGTTTGGCAGACAGCCAACATTCCTATTGATTACAGGAGGTTTATCTCACTGATAAAGTACATTCTTCTTAACTGGTTATGAAGTCATACAACATTTGTTAACAATACATGTATTAAATGTTTTAGCCTTGTGTTTAAATATAACTTTTAAAAATGTTCTTGTTTCTCATTTCTTTTGTTTGAGAAATAGTGACGTCATTCTTAACTTTACTTTGAAGTTGCCAATAGCTGCTCGATAGAGTGCCCATGTTATATAAAATGAAACTTAATAGTAATCAATACAAACAATTTTGTAATTATAAAGTTGCCTCTACGTCCCTCTGCATTTTTTTTACCTCCGTACTTACATAGTAATCTGTTGCACTTTCCTGATGTTTTCTTAGCAAATTTTGTAGATGTTCTATTACTTAAAACATGGGTCAAGGACACCAGTGCTTAAAATAAATTTTTACTCTATTTATTGACTGATGTCTTCCATAATTTGTAGGTATACTAATAACTTTCAAGGGCCTCAAACTTTGAGTTTAGTTAGGGGTCACTTGTTGAAGGTCAATGGTACTAAAAAAGATTTTTGCGACGGACGCGCCCTCAGGCGCGTTCAGAGCTAAGTCATCTTCACATGGGATTTCGTTGGCTACACTCGCGCAATGTGTCCTAAACCAATTAACAGCCCAAGAAATAGTACATGAATTTGATCCTTCAAAACTCCCATACTTTGTCTGGATATCTTAATGTCTTCCATATTTAGCCTTTTCAATTTCAAATTAAGTTATCCAAGTTAAAATATGAACGTATATTGTTGATAAAAACGTTTGTAGTCCCGTAGTATTATTGCGCAATATGCAAATTACTGCTGAAACGATTTACCGCTGTCGAAAAAGTAGGACAGCAAATTATACTTCAATAAAGGTGTAACCTCTGAGTTCCAAGACATTATTAGTAGGAAATAAATATTTCTACATTATACAACTCATTATTATTAACAAATCAAAAGTTTTCGTGACTAGGATAAATCGCGCATTAATAAAAGAAGAACTATTTTCGTGACTCATACCGCGGGTTTAGCTGAATATTCAGCAGTTATTAATATATTAGATACAGTACAATGGCTAGTATAAATATCTATTTTTGAAAATGCATGTAAGACACTTTACCGCCATGTAGTCTTTCATGGTAAGGAAGTTATAATATCAGTTCTACATCCGATTCTTGTGGTTTGTTTACATATTTTACTAGGTCATGATATGAGTTAACCTTCGCTATTCTAAAAATAGATTCTGCTTCAATTGTTCTGATTTTTGGACAGGCGATTAGGAAGTACACATTAAACATGTAATTAATAAACCAGCGGATTGTAATGCAATACTTTTAGAAATGCTATACAATTGTAAGAAGCAAACAAGTTGAAAATGGAATTTAGTGTGAAGTTGAAAAGGACAACTAAACACTGTACTAGTGCTTAAGTGACATTTAAATTAAAATAAAAACGATGTGCTCTGGCCTCTACATCTTTACCTTGTAAATAAAAAAAATCTAAAAAATACACTATTAATTGCTGATGATTTTAACCAATTTTTTTTTAATGAGACATATCCAAGAGAAATAAAAATACAAATGACTTATATCTTATTGTCTGTATGCCCACTATGATATAACACGAAGCAATTCTAAATAGCATTCTCAAAGTATAATGTATTATGTTTGAAGTTTATTTGCCTGGATTTATTCTAGAAATATTTCGTTGATAGTTTTTTTTCTATTTACATATCATTTCTTAGAATAAATCGATAAAGACACTGATTTACAAGTTTGACCAGAGTTTTTAGGCATAAATTTCATTCTGTATTTAAGTGCTTGAAAGTAGAAAATCTGAATTATATCAATTTGGGACACTAAATATATTGCTGTACAAATCTCGAACTTGTATGGAACAAATTTTCTCTGTTATATATTTTGTGTTTTGTTTTGTTTTGTTTTGTTTTTCTAAAAGAAGCCTTAATTAATGTCTCTCCGGTTGCATGTCCGTCGCATTCAGTGCTGCAGCACTTTGATTATACTTTTGCTAATACACATGTACAGCCTTTATTTATGAACCGATACCTTTAACATTAAACAAGTAATTACTTTAAGTAGATCTACTCTTAGTTGTACCCCAATTACATTACTGTGTGGAATAACTTTGTCACATTATTTATGGTAGGTCCCCTGTGCTAGCTCAAGGTCAAGTTTTTCTATATTATAACTTGTTGATGCACTGAAATGTGAAAATCTAACAGATTATTTTTATTCACTTTCAGAAGAGAGTAGTATTCAAGCTGCGGATTCCAACAGTCCGAAACAACCATTTGTACCTTGTAAAGTATGCGGTGATAGAGCATCAGGATACCACTATGGTGTGACATCATGTGAAGGTTGCAAGGTAAGAAAATTCGGTGTTGAAGTCTTGATATTTTAGGTGTTATTTAAAGACCAGGTTTTTGTTAGAGATCAATTAGGTATGTAAACTCTTAGCAAGGTATATATATTATTTGATAAAGAAGAATTTTTAAGTAGGTACATTTATATAAAGGGAGGTAAATGTGCAGCGATGCATCTTTCAAGTGGGAGAGAGGCAAATGTCCATATATGGGGAAGGACAAAGTGACAATTTCAGTCAGGGAGGGAGCAACTAGTACAATAAAAAAAATCTTAATTAGGAGTCAGATCCATTGAAGGAAAGGTAAAGTTCCATAAAACAAGATAACAATATCAATAAAAAGATTAACATAGTTGCATTAAAAGATTTCTGATGAATAAATATCCATTGTTCCATGAAATGAAATGATTGAGTTCCTTTAAAAACAAGAGCTGTCTGTAAAAACAAGAGCTGTCTGTAAGATGGCGCTCTACTACTAATATCAGTGCTTGGCTGTAAGAAAAGGAGCATACCTCTGTTCAAAGGTAACTCAAGAGTTATGGGACATAAGCCCATTATGATCACAGAGAAGTTTTCCTATTCCCTTCAGTAGTTTTGGAGATATCAACTTGCGCACAAAAACTTGACCAAAATGTGACGGCAACATTGACAACGGGGTGTGTACAATAAGACTCCCTGTTCTTCAAATAATCAAGCTAAAACTGAACATGTTTCATAATTATAAAGGTAGGGACTAGTTCTGGTAAAGTGACAATTAAATCTATGGTTGAAATTTGCAGTATAATATAAAATAAACTCTTTCCTTCATGAGCATATTGTGAAAA